AAGCGTGCCTACATCGATGTGAAAGTGGATGCTCATGCAAGCTGAAACTTTGTGAGAAGTCTGCTATCTGGAGCACCGTCTTCCCGGACGAAAAGTCCGCGCTTGGTTACTTTGACTTCTCCAGTGGTCTCCTTAAACTTGACCATGCCAGTCAGCGGGATGGCACGATGCCGCCAGTCTACTCAGTTGAACTCTAACCTAGTCAGCATGCTTTTTTATTCGCCCGAATTTTTTTACAAATGCTTTTGCTACTTGCTTTATTTGCTTCTTTATTACCTACTTTTTATGACGATGCATTCACAATTATCAAGTTGTCCTGTGAATATGCGAGGAGGGATAAATCTGAAGTGCGAATATTTTCTTTTCGTAGTGTCTTCTTATCGGCGAATTCCGAAGGCTTCGTAAAATGGCTTCGAGGGAATTCTTGGGATGCTGCCGCGTGTGTGTGCGTCTAATCGAGTACGTACAAATGATTTGGGACCATTATCCGTCGGAAGGATCGCGGCTATCCTCACCTAACTGGGCACTGGTAGCTAAGGTTCAGTCCGAAAACGGTTGAGAAAGGTGCGTAAGCCTTTAAAAACAATTAGCGGAACAGTACAAGTGGTAGTCAGGACTCGTTTGCTTTTTGTCCCAACTTCCGAGCTGAAAAACAGCTATAACTTTGGCATGCAACATCCACGTATCTCCTAGGAAGTCTTAACGAGCGCTCAGATTTGTCCAGTGGGGCATGCCTGGCTGATGGCCACAGACGTGGTCATCTTGGCACTTTCCGTTCTCAGTAAAGTTTCACATTCCCAGTTGTCTAACCCCCAGTCGCTCTGGGAAACAACTTAAAAATACCAAAAGTAGAGAAAGTCCGCCTGGGCTCCATGTCTGACAGTGCACCCAATAAACAGGGTTGCGGACCTAGGATAGTTCGACCGTCTTTTTCGACGATATCCATTACGGCAAGGCAAACTGGCCAGGTCTAACCCACATCTAATTCCGATTGTCAAGACGGACTCAAGTAGGCCGGAAAAAAATAGTGCAGGGGGGCGAGGACGGCTGGCACTACAAACAGTAAACACGCGTGACAAGCAGCACGTCTCGCTAGGTATGATCCTGACAGGGAGCGCCATTAAGTCCACATTAGGAGTCATTGCATCTGACTCTCAGTCCGCGGACAGCCACACCACACAACAAGACACACTGAACCGACTGCGGTGTCCGAATTAACCCGCAAGCAGGCAACCCTCCTAGCCACGGCTTTTAGCGCACCGCGATAGATTCAAGCGCGTCGGATTAATTATAATGAGGAAAGAAGTTCGCCGAGGGTCATCCTCACCCTCTCCCCCACCACAGCAACAGCCTAGCTGTCGGTCGCCTGAGTTGGAATGGGTACAACGCTAAAAAGGAAAACGGGATAGCCCAATCTATTCTTATACGAAATTGTGAATGGATGGTTCAGAAATGGTTAACGACATTGATCGTTCAGTGACAGCTAGTCTGTATTCACGGCTAGGGTTCAGATAAAAAATCCGAAAAATGTGGGGCAAGTGGTGAGGGAGAACAGCTAACTTCGGATTCCTCCACAGAAGCTCTTTAACTCTCGTTCACCAGAGAATCAGTAAAACATACTTTAACTGTCAGACGTAGTGAGAAGAAAATCTTTTTTGTCATTACCAAGACTTGGGACTCAGGTGCATTTCCTCACCTACTGATCATCTCGTTGGAGGATGCAGACTACAATCCTAGATTCCATATACAGAGTTTGTCCTTCATGGAACTTACGAGTTCATTAACAATTTTCACGCATTGGAAAGCATGATTTGTGATACTAATAATTTGGCTGTAACCACATGGAGTCAAGCCTGACGTCAGTCGGAACAAGGCAGAGAGGCTCACGAGCCGGAACGCGCAAATCGGCCGAGTAATTGAAAAGATTTTCGAGAAAGTGTAATTTAAAAGAAAAAATAAGCATTCCTCGTGGAAACAATATGTACAGATGAATCAAAACGTATACGAAACGTTCTCACTGGCTGGCTGAGGGTGTAGTTACGCTACTTGGTCGACGGCGAACTATGTATAATTCATATATGTGATCGCTCTGACGCATGATTAGTGCAATTAGATTGACACCGAGACGACGATAATCAATGTAACAGCCCACAAGGTAGATGACGCAGGCTAAGAAGACCAGCCAAGCCAGCGGCAGACGTGGGTCACTGCGGGAGTGTAGATCGGATGGAATCGGACCCAGGAAGTCGCGGGCTTCCAAACGGACTGGACCCATCGGCAGCAAACGAATGCTGTTCCACACAAAATCAACCATCTCATCAAGATCGGTATCTGAACCATTGAATTCGCGATAGACGTGACCAGCGATAAAAATCTTCAATTTTGGGATATAGAAGACACGTAAGCTCCATTTGTACTTTACGTACTCGTCAACGTCAATTGCAA